TAAGGATTTTTAATCGAACATGTGGACTTATATATGATATATTGTATATTTCGATAAAGAACATTATTTTTCTCCAACAAGTTTAATTTGAATTATAAGGGTTTCAATTAGATTAGATTTGTTTGTTTATTTTGATAAAGTTCTAGATTAATTGAAATTCGTTCAATTTTAGATTCTTTCAATTTCTTGCTCTATAAAATAAAGAGCTTATTCATTGTACTTAACAACTAGAATATATGAATAAACATTGATTTTCTTCTTGCCCTCAATTCTTCTCTTCTTTGTACCCTCTTTCTCTTCTGGTTTCCAATTGTTCATTGTCAAAATATGTGCATCTTGTGTCATCATTCATATATCCTCTCCTAAATTTGTATTTTTGTGTTTATTTTTCCAATAATAATAAATACTTCATCTCATGTGTGGCTGGAAATTAGGGAAGTCTTATAAACTATTTAAAGAAATTATTGAAATATCAGAAATACAAATATAAGCGATCAATCACATGAATTTAAAAATTACAGAAAATAAAACTTGCAGAAAATTAAAGATTGAACACAAGGAATTGTTTTCGATGACCGCTTTTAACACACAATCCCCCTATTGAGTATCCATTAAAATGGATAATGCTCGATTGCACTAAAAATGGTCAAAACGGCAACCAAAGTTTACAATAATTCAAGAATACAAAAGATTGAACCACAAATTGACTTATCTTTTAAAAATTATAGATCGAACAACCAAGTTCACCAAGAACTCACACAAACCACAAATCTGATGTATAAAAACACGAACACTTAAGCCCTTAGCATTTTCAATCAGAAAATACTATAATCAGAAACAGATTTGAAAATCTCAATTTCGAATGAGAGTTTCCAGACCAGAAGATGAAATCCTAGATGAAGGGTTGTTTTTCTCTATCTCAAACTAAAGCCAGATTATTTAGAATAATGAATCACTGGAGTCAAGTGAGGAATTTAACCCTTGAAAACATCCAGAAAGCAATCTGACTGTCAGCAAGATGCCAAATGTCAAAATCCAGTTAACTCCGTACTAACAAAGTTGTCATTTGATAATACGAGTTTAGTCAATTTTGGTGGCACGCACATCACACGTGCACAATGACCCAACAATTATTATATTCATTTCAGGATTAGGATTAGTCAATATTTTTCAATAATGAATGTATTTACACCTTGTAGTCATATTATCTCACATTTTAAATTCAGATGACTTAGAAGACTCGTGAAATTCAATATACAAGTGGCTGTGAACATCTAGAAATTGCCTTGGTCAGTTGTCTTCCAGTGTAAACTCTACATCACACTGATTGAACAATCCAAAGCTATCAGATCTTAAGGTATTTTGTAGCCATTATCTACCAGTATAAAAACTACATTCTGCTAGCAAATATGAACGAATCGAGACAGTACAAACCCGTACCATACTTCTCGTAAAGCTTGTGAAAGTACTGCAAATGAGGTCCTTTCTCATTTTCCTCGCCATTGCCATTGCCATAGCCATTGCCACTGTGGAAAGCAACTCTGAAGGTAGCTATACAGATTTGTGTTAAACACTTGTAGTAATTCGTTTAGTACATGCTAAAAACTTAGAATTTTTTTGTGTTTTCGAGTCGAGTATAAATCTCTGTTCTTGTGCAGTGGATGCTCTTCAAGTCTGGAAGACTAAACTGACAGATCCAAATAATGTCCTCCAAAGCTGGGATCCAACACTGAATAATTCCTGCACCTGGTTCCATGTCACCTGCAATTCAAACAACAGTGTTACAAGAGTGTATATATCTATTTCTCTCCACCTCAAATTCAAAATAATTTTCTTAATCTGCATAACTTGGTTTTATAGTTTTAGATGATTATTGAAAATGCGATTTTGATTCATTGAAGGGACCTTGGCAACGCGGGACTAGAAGGACCTCTCGTGCCTGAGCTTGGAATCTTAGCTAATCTACAATACTTGTAAGCTCGATAAACCTTTATCCATTAGAACATACCAAACATGCAGTCACTGAATGTTCGTGCTTTGCTCTTTGACAGGCAAGTCCAACGCAATAAGATCGGTGGAGAAATACCGAGAGCTTTAGGCAATTTGACAAAACTTGTGAGCTTGGGTCTGGATCAGAATCAGCTAAGCGGATCGATCCCAGAAACTCTAGGGAACTTAAGATTATTAAGATTCTTGTAAGCTAATTATCTTCATATTCCATACAGCAAAATTCTGAAGTTTTATGCAATTTTACAGATATTTTATTGATATGATTGCAGGAGGTTAAACAGTAACAATTTAACTGGGAGAATTCCAAATAGTGTCATTGAACTGATCCATTTTGGCAATTTGCTGATCATGTAAATTACTGTCCATTCACCAATTTATGACCCTTGAATATTTAATTGAATTTATTAACAAAATTTACATTATTACTGAAGAACTGTTCTGAATTTCCATTGCAATTTGATCATCAGGAATGTCTCAGACAATCACTTGGCAGGCACTGTTCATCACACAAATAAAGCAGGTAGGTGATACTAATCAGGACGGGACAGTATTAAATTATTAATGAAGAAAAATACGTTAATTTTGTTCGTAATAATGTCTGGTATAGTTTAATACTACGTATGAAAGGTGTCTTTCATGTGTGGGTTCTAATGGCAATTAAATTTGCTCTGTCTATTGAAGGATTTGTTACTACTACCATAATTCAAGATGCAAAAGCCTAGAAGAACATGATGCTTACCTGGGCTACTATATATTATCCATTCTTGTACTGCAATAAATTGCCTTGACATCTGAGGTGAAACTTTAAAAATTTGCAATAACATTCACCTACGCTGGTGTATTACGTATCATGTACTGTGCATTGTCTATTGTGTATCTCGTATGGATTGTAATGACCAATATTTGGATCTCATTTTTATTTTTTTGTGTTGTATTTGAAATCTTTTAAAAGTTCATTTCTGATGCAGAACGAAAACGTAAACAATAGAAGGGTTTTGTTCATAACATATGAACGGATTGCTCGAATTTCGTTCGAACGGACACGATAATTATTTGGAATCCACCAAATAAAGGAAAAATTGAAATATATTATTTAATCAATTAAAACAATTGAAATGTTTTTACCAATGTTCTTAAAATCGGCCTGACCATTGACCCTATTAGGTTAAAGGGTTGAGGGTCAAATGGTAGATCGGGATTGAATCGGAAATTAAAATAATTAAATAATTGATTTATATATAAATTCATAAATATAAGTGAAAAATTTTAATATTCTGAATTTCATTAGTTAACCAAAACTATTTATGGAGCCATTTAAAATTAAGTACAAATTAAATGGGTCAAAAACTACGTTAGAAATAGTGAACTACAAAAGTGGCGTATTTTATCCAAACACCTCCATCCTCCTTCTAGCCTAGGCCGCCTTAGTTTATGTTGATATTTTCAGATCCAGCCTCCATTTGAGCCCCATCTTTTCAATGATACATTTTTTAAAAATTCATTTTCAATCACACATTCTTCTATAAAGTAATTATACACGTATTTCAAAAAAAAAATTATTACTTTTTAATTACACCCTCCTAAAATTCACTATTTCATAATACATTTTACTCCAAAAGTAGGGATCAAACATGGGCCCAGTGCCGCTGCCTTCCGATTCTCTCTCGTCTAGTTCCATTTTCATCCCTTATGAACGATAGGGCTTCGATGACTATTGGGTGATCACGAAAATGGAAGCAAAGCTTTGTTATATACTTTATCCACATTTTTGCCCTTTTTGAGTTGAATTGAAATTTAACAATTCAACTCAGCAAAATCGTTCGCGGTTCAAGTTTACTGGTTCACACAATTTTCAAGATTTTGGGCTTGTTTCCTATTATTAGGTTTGTACACTTTGATCAGATGGGATTCCTTCTCAGTTTCCGATTTTCCAGACCATATTGGTTGGTCATATCCGATTTTCATTACATTGATTTTTACAACCTTAACACATATTTATAGATGGACTATGCTACATTCGCAAAATGTTTTACCAACTCGCCACTTGGCGCCCCTCCATTGGTAAAACATTTTGTAAAACATTTGGTACATCTAGATTATCCTTTATAGATTCCAATCAAATCCTAATCTACAATATATTAAAGGGTAATTATAATACCACCACAAGATTTATTAAGTACATCACATTATATCCACACCACAATTAAAACATGGTTTTAATAAATACACCCCAACAAATTTACAATTGTATACCTAATTTTAAAAAATAATAAAAATGAAGAGTTGTAATAAATACATCACAACTAAACTTCATCTTTTTATTTTCTTCCAGACATTTCTTTTCACCATGTATTTTTA